CTATTCTATTCTATTCTATTCTATTCTATTCTATTCTATTCTATTCTGTCTGTGTGTCTGTTCTGTTCTGTTCTACTCTATGTTCAAAATATTCTAACTTTAGCTTTTTTATGGTTTCGATGATTTCTCTTGGCTTTTCCAGGAGGCTTATCACTTCCTCATAGCTTATATGTAACAGCCTGCAAATCCACATTTCAAATGCTTCTCGTCTCTTCAGGGGACTTTCTGTCAGAGACCAACTCTCCACTCCGTAGAGCAGGATAGAAAAGATGTAGCATCTGACAAGCCTGATTTTCAATCTTAGGCTTATGTCATGATTCAGGACAATAAAGAGTTTAATTTTTAGCTGTCAAACAGCTGATTTGAGCTTGGAACATTTGTACATTTCTAAGCACAACATGATATCTATGCCTTCATAACCTTAACATTCTAAAATGTATAGTATTTTTTAAGATACAGCTGAGAGAATGCTACAAGGACTTCCCTGTTCTCTTGGCCAAAATCCAGCATGTAATAAAACAGTAACTTTAGCTGCTGATAATCTTTTAGGATATAACATTTTATGGGGAGCTCCAGCATTGATGCCAGTCTAGAGCTTCATTGAAAAATAAACTAAATTATTTCTGATTTTGTTGGTGCCCTTCTCTTGCATGATCTGAGTTAGACCACTAGGATGTTGTATTATCCTACAAGCATCTTGCTCATATGGCATCCATGCTGTTAACATGTATTTCTTTTCAATGAGGCTTCTGATTTCACAAAGATATTTTGTTAGAAATCCTGCTTTATATAAAGCACCACAGAACAAATAAAAAGCACAGTCACCATGTGCTTTACTGCCCAACTATATTACTGTAACAGAAAACAGGAAACTCTCCTCAGAACATAAAGAAACAATAGATCTTGGGTCGGCAACCTTTTGGCGGACCCCAGGGACCACCAAACTCATTATTTTAAATCCTGTGGACCAGAGACCCTGGGAAAAATCCCCCAAAAAGTCTGCAGGAAAATTCCCCACCCCATTTTCCTACCAATCGATCATTCTTTAATTGGGATCGCAGGATACTGTCTCCAGTTCTGTTCTCAGGGGGAGAGAGGGAGGGGGAGGGAGAGAGACTTTTGGCTTCATGCAAGGAAAGCAGCAGAAGCAGCAGAAATCTTTCTTTCTCTCCCCCAAACTTCGCCAGAAATGAGTCTTTGTGAGACTTATCATTCTGGCACAGCCTCTTGGAGCAGGATGCCTTGCAAGGTCCCAAAAACTCATTTCTGGCAGAGTTTGGGGGAGAGAAAGAAATACTTTTGCTGCTTTCCTTGCATGCAGTCAAAAGCAGAAGCAGAAAGAAGCAGCCCGGTGGCCAGGTGAGTCACATGGGGCAAGTTTCCCCACCCTTCTGCCCTTTACCCCCTCCCCTCACTACCTCGTGTTGTTCGCAATGCAAGCGACGCAAGCTTTATGTTCCTGCGAGTCATGTGGGCAGCGCAGCCTTGTGTTCCTACGCAGCCTGGATTAATTGCTTTGGGGAGTGCTTTGGGAGTGACATTTCTCTGCAGACCACCAAAATTTTCTTGCGGACCACCAGTAGTCCCTGGCCCACAGGTTGGCGACCACTGCCATAGACTACAATAACCAGAGATGCACATTAAACACTGACATCTACTGGCCGGATAATTCTATAGTTGTTGCAATACAAAATGCATTCTGATATGTATTCCAACATATTTGTTGTTACCGCAATTTGTTCTGGAGCACTTTGAAATAACTAAGTAGTTTTCTAGATTTCAAAGAGCTGGAGATGTCCGACTGGAGCCTAGGGCTTTTCCGAACTTTTCTTGCAACAACCACTGATAGATAATGTCATCATCATTATTTAAGCAGTCATTTTTAATCTCTTGTCCAATCTCAATCACTTTTGGGATTCCTTCTGCCCCCGGTTCCTGAGAAAATCTTGAATCATCTTGAATCCACACCTAAAGCATTGAGTTCTGAACTCGAGTCTCAGCTCTTGTGTTATCAAATTGCATTGCTTGCCAGTTCAGCTTTCAGTGATGGTGAGGAACCCTTTTTCAGCTCCTTGATTTGAAGCACATGTAAGATATGCTCTGGATGGCAAATATCAACATGTCTAGTGGCATGACTTCATCATTTTCTAGGAAATTTTTCACTTTCACTTGCTTGCCAATATCTTGGCTTCTCAGAAGACATCTACTCCATTTGAAGGAACAATTCATTTGAGTTTCAGAAGCCAGGCAAGGATAGGACTTGTAAATATCAACACATTCTTCTCCTTACTTTTGCAGCTAAGCTTCAAAAAGAGAATAGTGGGGTTCCCCCCCGCCACTTTCTTTTCTTTCTCTCATCCTGTTCTCTGTCTCTCTTGTTTAGTGCAGCAATAACAGAATGCAATACTAATACACAAGTCCTCCTCCTCCTCTTCTTTTCCTCCTCCTCCTCCTCCTCCTCTTCTTCTTCTCCTCCTCCTCCTCCTTTTCCTCCTCCTCCTCCTCTCTGTATAGTCTACTACCTGTATCATCTGTGTTGCATGTGAGGGTTTTACAGTTTCAACGTTGCCCTGAATGCAACTGAGCTGGGAACTAACTAACTAACTTTCTTTCTTTCTTTCTTTCTTTCTTTCTTTCTTTCTTTCTTTCTTTCTTTCTTTCTTTCTTTCTTTCTTTCTTTCT